TCTTACCCTTCTTCCTCCATCCCCGGGTACCTAACACTGGGTGAACCTCTAATGAGACTATTGCCGTGGCTCGCGTGGGTTAATTCATCGTTAGATTCCGAGACCAAGGACTTGCTCTCAATTTCCAGTACGGTTTCCCTTGTGAATTTCATTGCAGAAGTCCTCCCACTTATTTTGTGCATTTTGTGTAGTTTTGCTCAGAAATTAGCAAACCTTTTAACTCCAAAGGGTGCTGAACCTTAGCTACTTCTCTGAGTTAGCATGAAAGGGCCGCAGCGACTCTAGCTGCCGTCCCAGAGAGAAAGGCTGCCCTGGACTTGGGAAGGTTAACCATCCATGGGCCGAGATGCTCGGGGGCCCAGAGCATCTGGATGAGAAGCAAGCATTTAGATGGATGTGCTCCGGGAGGTAGACCTTGCACGTAGATAACTAGCTTGGAATTCTACGTTTTTTCAGATCTTCAAAGCCTGTTTGTAGAGATTTCTGTTTTCAAGGTATTTCTCATGGGGCCTCAAATACGTCGTTGAAACCCTGCAATTTCCTTTCTTTCTTTCTTTCTTTCTTTTCTTTCTTTCTTTCTTTCTTTCTTTCTTTCTTTCTTTCTTTCTTTCTTTCTTCTCTTGTGGTGTGGTGGTTTAGAGATGGGCGGATTGCTCTGAATCTTGTAATCGGGTTTCTTAAAGCCCCCTTTTAAGGATTTAGATAGGCCTGTGCTGCCTCAGTTATGGAATTTGAAATTGTGATACAAAGAGAGGCGTCTTGGTAGCGGTGCGTGTATGAAAGGGAATTCTTACTGAAGCGCTGTCTCCCTGTCCGCTGTGTGTGGAGTTTATTTTGAGTCCTCGCTCACGCTGGCTTTCCTTTCTGACTTGTTTATATTCTCAGAGAATAAAAATACAGTAGCCGGGAAGCTCCTCTCGGGGAGTCTGCCTTTAGCTCTTGTCTGAGGATCCCTTTCTAAATGGACTGCGGCATCGTTTTAGCTCTCACATTGTTTGCCGAAATCCGAGCTGCCCAGGGAAATTAGAGCAGTTAATTTAATATCGAGAGCGTTTTGGGGCTTCTGGGCTTATTCACAGGCAGGAGAGTGTAAATCACTGAGTATTTTGTGTAAAGCGGCGGGCAAAGTTGCCTCCAAAAAATAGCCAGCCTGCCCTCCCTCCCCGGCCTTCCCGCTCCTCACCTTCACCCTGAGCCCGTGGAAATCTTACTTTATCCCAGGTGTCCTCCCAAGTGCTCCCCAGCAGGCGTCTGCGTGGCAGACAGGCAGCACCCCGGGTAGTGGTAGAGGGCGTGCGGGGTCATTGCGTGTTAGTCCTGAGGGGGCTCCAGGGTCACAGCCCGCAGTGTGGTCCATGGCGGGGAGCTCTCTCCCATACCTGGACCCAGCCCTGCCACCCTTTCCATGGAGAACTCGTTCTGCAGCCACCGTGACCAGCGGTGACTTCCCTGCACCGGGCTGGGCACTGGCGTCGGTGATCTGTGTGTTAAGGAGAAAGGAGCAGCAGCCGTGTGGAATGCACTTACGGCCGAGGAGAACGGACAGAGCGCCATCAAGCCTCCTAAGACCGCCCAGGCCCCCTTTGAACAGGCCTCCTGAGTAACGGGTTCTGTGTGAGTGGCTGCTGGGCTGTTTTGATGTGTTTTGGAGGGGACCTTTGAAAAAGCACTTTAGGGACCTCTGACCCGAGAGCTTAGAACACACGTGGGCAGCCTCCACCCACCCCCAGAGCACACTGCGAAGTCCAATGCTTTGGCCTGGGCTCCGGAAGGTTGTGTGTGTGCAGCAGCCCTCACTCCCTGCCTCTCACAGACACGCCGGGCTGGCTTTATGTCGCCTCCCCTCTCCTGTGCTTCGGGGCCAACTTCTGTGGGTCTGGGATGTGCTATGGAAAGAAAAAGACACCTTGCCGGGAGCAGTGTGTGCTTACTTTGTTGAGGGACCTGGCTCCTTTGCAGGAAATAGCGGCACTGGGGGCAAAACCATGGATGGCTTTTTACAAACACCCAGGTGCTTCGCGCCCTGGATTCATCTAACAGTTGGGAGGTGACACGATGGAGGTTTCCGTTGGCCCCGCGGGACCCTCGTCAGCCCTGTACCCTGTAGACGCGCATAATGCCCCACCCGTCTTGGGAATGAATCTGACCACAGAGCCCGGTCTAGTTTATCTGGTCAGAAGGAAAAGAGACCATCTTGATTATAATAAATAAATGTCTTCTAGAAAAGCACACTTAAACATAAATATTTTAAATTTTGACATGCTTTGTATGTTCTAATTTGATCTATAAAATACACCCACAGGGATGCTTATATTAAAGCTTGGTTTTCACGTTACTAATAAACAACTAGGCGTCACCTGGTACACCCACTGAAAATATTTAAACATCATGGAAGTGCTGATACACTGGGCATCTCTGCGCTTAGCCCTGCAGTGATCAGGGTCCTCTCAGACGCTGTCCCCACCACGTCAGGGTCCTGGGTTGGAGGAGTCCCATGGGACACTGAGCAGTGGGTTTTTTAAAATCTTTTCCACACCTCCTTTCCCTACACCCTTTATAATCTCTTTCTACCACTTCTCTCTCTCTCTCTCTCTCTCTCTCTCTCTCTCTCTCTCTCTCTCTCCTTTCACCTCTTCCCTGCAGACTGCATTCTTTCCATGTAAAATTCTATACATCTAATGCAGTGGTTCTCAACCTTCCTAATGCCGCGACCCTTTAATATAGTTCCTCATGTTGTGGTGACCCCCAATTTCATTGTTACAAATTGAACATAATTAAAGCATAGTGATTAATCACAAAAACAATATGTAATTATATATGTGTTTTCCGATGGTCTTAGGCGACCCCTGTGAAAGGGTTGTTCAACCCCAAAAGGGGTCGCCACCGACAGGTTGAGAACCGTTGATCTAAAGTATCCCGTTTGGTCTCTAGTGCTCCCCAAAAGAAAAAGAATAGAAAATTCTTCACAAATCCAGCAAATAAAGACTATTCTAATAGCAGGGCCCTTGCTAAAATGTCTTCACAAAAGTGGACGGCACCACAAACTGCCCTCTCTCGGCACTGCCCCGGACTTCCCCGCCTGGTGATTTAGGGACTTTTCTACTTAGGAGGAGGGTGCCGTTTTTGCCGAGTTCAGCATGTTCATTGAGTCATTTCTTGGAGCCAAAAGCCAGCTCCACTGCATTTCTGCTGGGTAAGGTCCGATGGCCTTGGCGTGGGGCAGCGGTTGTTGATTCATCGGCCTTTCAACTGATGATAAATCCGGAAGCCAGGCAGCAGTACTAGGTAGGCTCCCTTAACAGACCTTGTACAGGGAATTGGCGGCGACACTTACGGAAACCTGTGGAAGGGTGCTCATAAACTCCTGTTCGGGAGGCTCAGGAGAGTGGGGGCAGAGGGAGCTCTGGGATCCCAGGAAGGAGGCAGCAGCAAGGGCTTAGACCACCACGTGTAGAACTGGTCGACCTAAAGCCCTAAAAAGTGCCTCTGCTCCTTGAGACGCCCATTTCCTGTTTACGTTTAAATTCTGGGTGGCTGGTGTCTTGTATCATGAGCATCTGAGATGGTTTAGCTCCTCGGCGTATCGCATGGAACCCATCTGCCGGGATGCACTAATCGCTCTCATTACATGTACTTCACTCCTGTTCATCGCACAGCCCCACATCTATACTTTCCCAACGATCATAGTGTTTTAATTTTAATCCCGCCTTTAGCAGAACATGAAACGCTCCATGAGGGTGGCCCAGTGTCGCTTGGACGCATCCTTTGCAGAGAGTTGTCTTGGGAGAGATTAGCACAAGTTACAAATGAAAATCGCAGCCCCGGAGATCCCTCCCCTGAGAGGGGCTGATCTTTCCTGAGACAAAGGAAAGAAAAAAGAGTCTGTCAGGGAGTTTTTCAGGACAGCCCTACTTCTTTGGGCCATCTCCTTGCTCCCCAAAACCACGGTGTGTTCTGCACACAAGCTGCCATCGACAACCTGGTGCCAATAACCACTTTCTGTATAACATCTTTTTTTTAGAAATCACATGAGTCATCTAATGCATGATATCTAAGTTGGAACGTGGTCACGGTAAATATCCCCACGCATCAGAGGCATTTTGATTCAGAGATAATGGTATCTGTTTGCTGGCTCTCAACTGAAATACCTCAGTCCCAACTAGACTGTCTGTTAGTCGAGGCATCTTTTTAAAAGACATGATTTTCATGCTGAGAGGATGGAAAGGGAAATGAAAACCGAGTCCTAAAATAGGTGCATTTAATTCTCCCCAATTTAAATGTAAGTGGCCCGTCTTGAAGGCAGTGACGATATTCCCTTTTCTCCCCCCACCAGGAGCGCCTCCATCAGTGGATTGCCTTAATGCTGATGATGGTTGGTGCAGTTTGAGGGAATCTGTAGTTAGTCAGAAAATGCTTCCATAGAATGACCTACCAGATGGGCCCCGTAACAAAGCACAGAGGCATCAAACCACCACAGACATTTGGTGCTTAGAATAATAAAAAGACTATAAAATTAGATTAGTTGAGTCTAATTTGGAATCGGTATATTCCCCATGCACCCTCGCCGCTCGTGGGCAGATAAAGCCTTGAGATTTAGCGCTGTGTCAGAGACTGCCACTTCCAGTAAAAGGAGACAGGGCGCGGGAGAAAGGGAAGAAAGCATTCTGGGAGGTCTCGGAGGGCAGAGCAGTGACCTCCAATGATTTACAGGCCTTTAGCTTAATGAAATTGTTTCAGTGACATGACGGTAAGAGCTCGTAATGGATTGGATGCCCTAATGTAATGAAATTACTCCCTTCTGCCTAAAAAAAAAAATGCGCAATTAATATTTACTGAGACCTGACAGCCTTTGGTGCGCTCGTCTGTGTAGTTCTCTCAGACAGTCAGAGAGGAGACGGAGCAGCCTGGCAGACAGGCTGGCTCTGCGGGAGCTCCTGGCGGGGACGAGCAGAGCCTGCTGCCCGCACTCAGCCTTCACGCTCTCCCTTGCTTTTCCACAGGCAACTGGACAACAACCACATCAGCTGCATTGAAGATGGAGCCTTCCGAGCGCTGCGCGATTTGGAGATCCTGTGAGTTGATTGTGCGGCCGCTGCCTGGTGTGCGTGTGCGTGTCCGGGCGAGGAGGAGACAGGGGGAGTGCGTGTGCAGGGGGTTCCATGCGGGTGCGTTTCTGGGGCCGCTGCTGCAGTGCTATTAACATCGGGCACCGGGAGATCCCTCCGGCTCACCTTGGCCAAAGTGTTCTCAGGCAGCAAAGTGTGATTTCCCACCTCCCGCAAACTGGGGCTCCTGCTAATGAAGTCTCAGCCGAGCCCTTTCTCCCCACTGTTCCCACGGTGTTTGTTGCTGGGCAAAACAGATGGGCTGGAGTAGCCCCCAGCCCCTGCCAGCGCGGTCGGGGGGAGCCTGTCTTGAGTGTGGGCACGCAGGAGGCAGGTTACAGGTCTGGGAGACCAGAGAGGGTAGCACCAGGGGTCAGGGCAATCACCCAAAATCTGAAAGGGATCTGGGCGCAGGACTGGGGGAGGCCAGACAGCAGGTCAAGTCAAGCCATTGCCTTTGCTCCTGGGCTCTCGCCTCAGGTGCAAATCCAAACTTTAAGCAGCGACCTTAAGTGTGGGGGGGGGAGGGGAGGATGAGAGGAAGTGGACACCTCCCAGAACCCCACTCTGTATACTTTATCTGGAAGCATGGAGCTGCCTTTCTGGGTTCCAGATTTTCAAATGGGTCTGTCTGTAAGGAAACCTGACTCATGGGAGGGGAGGGCAACGAGGGGGAGGGAGTCAGCCAGGAGTCATCTCGGGTCATTCACACTAAAGTTGAATTGTGTGAGAAAACATTCTGATCGCTCTCACCCCAGCTACACTTCCAGCCGTCCCTGGTTTGGGGGATGCTGGAGAGGAAGGCAGGAAAGCCCAGCAGAACTCGTGTCAGGAGATGCGGGGTTCGGTCCCCACTCAGCCCCTAATTAGCTGTGTGACCTTGGGCAAGTCCCTTCCGCACTCAGAACCTAAGTTTTCTCATTTGGGAAATGAAGGGGTTGGTTGCTCTATCTTGGGGGTCCCTTCTCCTTTCCAAGTTCTATAATTGCCTGGTTCTAAAAATAGTTCTGATGGTACAGTCCCACCCAGAGAATGCTAAGTGTGGGGTCTGTTGAGCATCCCTGAAAATACGAAGTTACTTAGTCACCAGGTCGCATAGCTCTGACTTCCAGGAGAATGAATAAATGTCAGACAAATACACGAATGAATATCTTAAAATGTCCCTTTGCACATAAAAGGAGGAGTAAGGGCTCCCTGTCCCTTCCCCTGGCACCTGGCCCCACAGACAGCAACGGGCTGGAGAGAGCCTCTCCACGTTGCATGCGAGGAAGGTGATTCCAAGAGGAATCACGGGAAATAGAGGGGAGCTGCTGCTGCCAGCGCTGGGACTGATGAAAGCCGAGCATCCCAGCACCGAAGGGGCAGGCCCTCAGCCAGGGCGGAGGCGCTCACTCCTGACAGGGGTGGTCCCTCCTCACCACACTCTAACCCCGGAACCCGCAACCAACGCATGTGCCCAAATGTAGTCACCCAGGGCTTCTCTTATCAAGAGGCCGGAGCTGAGAAGGGTGGGCACGATTCTCTCTGCTTGAAAGAAAGCCTCTGTACAGAGGGCCGCTAGGAGCATAGCACCCTATTCTTGGGAAGGATGAGGAAATTCCTTGGGAAGAGATCAGGAAATGGAAGTCACCAGCTGCCACGGAGCAGCTGGGAGACCTCTACAAGGCGTGGTGGGGTCTCCTCACCAGGAAGGCGAGGGGAGGGGGGCAGTCTGACAATCAGACACACCTGGGTGTGGAAGCCGGGACTCAGTGGGGCTTTGGCCAGATTACTGAGCCTCTCTGAGCCTGTTTTCTTCACGTTAAGAAGAGGCGCCTTATCTATTTCATAGGAAGGGCTCCCCAAATAGTGTTTCTTCCAAGTCCCTCACTTTCTCCCGACCATGCCCCATCCCCATCCAGGGGGCAATTGCACTCGGAAACGCTAGTATCCAGGCACACCGGGTCTCTCACACTGGAAGCTTACAAGCCTGTGATGAAAAGTTCTCTTTCCCCGTCATTGCAGAGCCCGCAGGATCTGATTAGTTTATCTTTGCGATTCCAAACAAAGCCAGATCAATAGCTTTGTTTTAAAGACACGCTCATTTGGCTTCACGTGGCTAAGTACTTAAAATTAATCATCATCAGTGAGTCCACGGGTTTCTAATCTCCAGCAGAGGCACTCAGCTCTGGAACCATCCATCTTAGTGGGGAGCTATTCTGAAACTGGCTGGAGCTGGCATCTCCATCTAAAGGACCTCCCCTCCCCACCCCCAGACCTCCCAAATCTCAGCTAGGCATCGACATTTTGTAATACTTCCCTGTAATCACAACTTGGCACCATAAAGAATCTTGACAATGACATAAATAGGAACTAAGGGAGGACATCGTGCGTTAACTTTGTAAATTCTTCAGAGATGCAGAGAGAGGGGATGGAGTTAGAAGCCCGCTGTCCCTGGGCAGGTCATCTTTCAGCACCTGCAGCTGTAACATCTACACATTAAGAGACAAGATGCAGTCTTTCAGGTGTGTCTTCTCTCTGACGTTGTGCAGCGTGAAGTACAAAACAAGGAAAGACTCGGGGTGACCTCGTGGAAAGCTCTCAAAATTAACCCAAGGGAAGTCTGTGGACCTCACCTACAGTTGACCTTTGAACAACATGGGCGTTAGGGGTGCTGACTCCCCCTCCCCCCTGCCCACAGTCAAAAATCTGTATATAACTTTGGACTCCCCCCAAAACTTAAATCGTCTCTCAGTATCTCAGAGGATTGGTTCCAGGGCCCCCCACAGATACCCAAATCCATGGATGCTCAAGTCCCCTGTATAAATGGTGTAGAGCAATGCATACAGTTGGCCCTCCACGTCCACAGACTCCCAACCTCAGATGGGAAACAGTACAGGTATTTAGTGAAGAGAATCCCTGGGTCAGTGGACCTGCCCAGTTCAAACCTGTGTCGTTCAAGGGTCAGCTGCACTAGTGGAAATATTCACGCGGGATCGCCCCATGACTCGTCCTCCCTGTGAGGGAAATGCCGTAGGACTTCTTTCCATCTAGACCGAGGTGGGTTTCCCCTGTTCCAGGGAATGAGAACTTGGGAGGCGAGTTGACAGGAACCACTCTCTGCAGTGAGGGGAGCGGCAGGGGTACAGGTTGGAAAAGACTCAACTCTGCCCATCTTGTCCGCGTTTATGGCGCATGCCCAGTGGGGGATGCCCAGCACCGGGCATGGAGGACAAAGGGAAGGGGTCAGGTAGCCAGGAAGGGGGCTAAAAGGAAAAGCATAGTGTAGGCCAGTGGTCGGCATACTGCAGCCCTTGAGTGTGGCTCTTCCACAAAATACCACATGCGGGCGCGCATACAGTGCGATTGAAACTTCGTGGCCGCACTCAAGTTGCCAAAGAGCTGCATGTGGCTCGCGAGCCACAGTTTGCCGACCACTGGTATAGGCAAAACTTCTCAAGGCCTGAGCCCCCACAGGGGAGGAATCTCAATGCTAGTGATTGGAGCTGACATTCGGGCCCCATCCCCAACACATAACACAACCAGTGCTTTAACCCGTGAGCTCTCTGCATCCTCACAAACCTGCTGGGAAACTGCTGCTATTGCCGTCCACCTTGTACAGAGGAATAGCCCGTGTCAGAGAAGCCAGGGAACTGCCCGCCCAGCAGCAACAGAGCCCGAGTGACCAGCATCCTACCAGCTGCCCCTCTGAGCTGTGTCGCCAGGGCTCTCCTAGGGTTGGCTCCCCTGAAGCGTGGCCACCAGGCACCATGGGTGGCGTGAGCTGGCCCTGAGAGCCAGGCCAGGCAGGCGACCCAGGACTCAAAATCCTGGTGAGGAGAATGCAGGCGCTTCCCACAAGCCTGCAGAATTGTCATCTCCTTCCCCCAGTTTAGGGGTCCCCGCAAAGTTGAAGATGAATCAAACTCACCAGGGAAGGAAAATAATCCCACTTTCACTGACTTACATTCTAGTCCCAGGGACGATGTAGTCTCACTTCTGGATGCCGCCAATTGACTTTGGCGCCCAACGGTTTGGGGGCCCTATTCTCCAAACTGCCCCAAAACACAGCCCCAACTTCCTGTATGGCACTTAAGGTTCTTCATGGAGGGGCCTGTTTCCCGTGGGTCCGACGCCCTTCTATTACCCACATCACTCACTGCCCTTTCATTTCCACCTGTTCTATCCATTTGGCGACTCACATCTCGGCTTTCTCTAAGGCAGTGGTGCTCAACCTTCCTAATGCTGCGACCCTTTAGTACAGTTCCTCATGTTGTGGTGACCCCCAACCATAAAATTATTTTCGTTGCTACTTCATAACTGTAATTTTGCTACTGTTATGAATCGTAATGTAAATATCTGATATGCAGGATGTATTTTCATTGTTACAAATTGAACATAATTAAAGCATAGTGATTAATCACAAAAACAATATGTAATTATATATGTGTTTTCTGATGGTCTTAGGCGACCCTGTGAAAGGGTCGACCACAGGTTGGCGACCCACAGGTTGAGAACCGCTGCTCTAAGGCATGTGTATACGGCCGTCGAGTACACCAAGACTGCATCTCCAGCCCCTTCAGGCAGGAATCCTTACTGGTCGTGCTCTGAACTGTGGGTTTCTGGTCCCTGCTAGCAAGATTGAGAATGGGCGGGCAACTCACCAATTATACCAGGCTCTTCCCTGCCCAGGTTAGAAAAACGTTTAATGAAAAAGAAAAAATTAAGAGTATGGACAAATGAAACAAAAATGAGAAGACCTAATGAATAAGATAGTTAATTAATTTTTTCAATAGTATTACAGGAGGAGAGAAAAGATTTTCAGATATTGTCTCCTGACTACATGTAGCAAATCAGAAGATCAGCAGACACGTCCTGAAAGGCTGTCACCTCCCAGTGAGGGGTCTGCCCGGAGAGAACCCAGGCCCAGCAAACTGCGTGCGGATCATCGGGTCTGCAGATAACCAGGGTGCCGTTTGGAAGGCCTTGTTCCCATTTATGTCATTACCAAGGCCTCCGTTCCTTTGGGTTACTGCCAGCTCAGGCAGCCCTGCTGTAATCCATGGAAATTCGGTGACATTACTCTAGGCTGGCCCTGGTGTCTGTAGAGAAAAGGGACAGAGTGGCCAAGAGCAAGGCCGGGCGACAGTGAGCCGAGGCCTCCTAGCATTTCACACCTCGGCTGCCCCACTTCCCTCACCCGAGTCCCGGCTCTGGCCAGGGGATGCCAAGGACAAATTGGTGGTAGCAAAGAGGCTGGCACCTGGGTCTCCAGGCCCCGGGCCCATGTCCTTTGCCCACATGGGCACCTCCTGCAGTTGGGCCCTTTGGGAGAAACCCCTGGTGACACGGGGACCCTGAGTGCAGTTGTCTTTCTAGCCCGTCCTTCAGTGGCATCTCCTATTTTGGAGGTTGAGGGAGGGCAGACTTTGATCCCAGGTCCTGCTTTCAGCTCTCTCTCTGGAACTAGACAGCAGACCACATTGCTTCTGTGGATGAGTTTTACTTAATCTCGTAACGTGTTCTTTAACAATGGAAGAGAGCATTTCATACTTAAAATATATTGTATTTTTCATAAAATTCCAGCTTGGGCTTTTAGCAACCAGAAGCATTGGCAGCCCTGGGCTCATTCCTGCATCGTGATGGTCGGTGTGGCTGGGTGCACAAGCCCGCCTCCCATGGGGTGTGGCTGCCCCTTTCCCACTGGCCTCCACTCCTTTGGGTTGCTGCCAGCTCAGGCAGACCCTGCTGTAATCCATGGAAGTGCGGATACCCCACAAGCTAGTCTAGCGCCAGGCGCCAGGGACAGGAGAGCTCTCAGAGGGCGGGCAGGTGCTCTGGCAGGTCAGACTCTCTGGGCCGGAGGTCACCAGAACTGCTGAGTGCGCACGGACACGCAGCTAAGGGGCGTGGAGTCCAGGACTCCCAGACTGAGCAAGGACCCCACAGAAGCAAGCAAGGTCTTCATGCCCCATCTTCCAGGAAGTTCTCGAGAGTTGAACTAGCCTCCTAGTCCCTTTGATTGTAAATCAGTTCTGATTGGGGTTATGCAAATACTGAGTAGATGAACACCCACCGCCCAGTTTCTTGCTCCCCAGACTCCTGTGTCAGCCTGTGCACTGAGCCCCCTCTCAGCCCACATTCAGAGATTCAAGAGTTAAGGCAGTAGTGGAATCAATCAGACTTTTAGGGTAGTTCTAATTCACCCACATTCGGGCGGGCACGACATGGCCCGGCCCTGGGCTCCACTGGTAAACACAGAAGAATGGAGAAGAGCGTTCTTTGCTGGTATAAGGAGTCAGTGGGAAGAAATTGGCAACAGTCCTGATGCCCAGGTCGGGGTGTGCTCACTCTCCGAGTGTGGGGTGCTGTCCTGGCTCAGGGGTGCTGGGCACTGGCCGTAGGGACACTCATAGACATTGTCAGTCCAGTTCAGAAAGCCCGGAGCTTGAGGCAGGTGGCCGGCTGTTCTCTGCTTCGGCTGAGCTTCCTGTGGATGTGGAACTCGATGCTGGATGAACAGTAGCAGGATAGCATGTCCCGTGCAGTAGTCCCCCCACCCACGGGGCACCTGTGCCCAGTGTAAGTTATGAATGAGGCACAGTTAGAGATTAACTAACTAATCACAAAACAGAACAATTATAACTGAGCAGTAATAGCCGTTATGTGAATGTGGGCACTCATGTCAGGGGACCCCGTGCTGACGTCTTCCTGTAGGCTCAGTGCTTCTGGGGCACCATGTCGCCATCGATCAGAACACGGTTTCTGCTCCTCTTCCACCCGAGGGTTTAATGCCTTCTCCACCTTAACTAAGCACTTACCACTCACTGTGGCTGTAACATTGGCAGTTTGAGGTGTGACAACAGAACTAGCTCGGATTTCATTTTCCTTCTTCAGTTTCACGGATAGAAGTTCTTACCGTAGGTTTTAGCAATCTCAGGACACGATTTTTTTAAAATTCTCTCATTATGTCAAGAACTTTCACCTTTCCAGTTACAGGAAGCACTTTACGGCTTCTCTCCTGCATTTCTGAATTGCCGGCATCCCTACTCTTGCACTTTGAGGCCATTACTAAGTAAAATAAGGGTGACTTGAACACAAGCACGCGATCCCAGGGCAGTCGGTCTGATAACCGAGATGGCTGCTTATTGACTGACGTCAGGTAGGGTGTGCGGCATAGGTACGCGGGACACAGGGCGATTCCATCCTGGGTGGGATGGAGCGGGAGGGCGCGAGATGTCATCACGCTACTCACAGCGGCACGCAGTTTAAAACTTATGAATTGTTTATTGTATTGTTTGTTTATGGATTTTCCGTTTAACATTTTTGGACCATGGTCGACCACAGGTAACAAACCACAGAAAGCAAAACTGTGGCTAAGAGGGGACTGCTGCAGTACAGCGATACTAGATAATTATTAGTGTTGGCATTATAGGTACCGCAGCTACTGCTCTCACCTGCGTATTTTGCATGTGCTATCTCCTAGGCACTATGATATTAGAATGGAGCGTTTTACATACATCCTCGCCACAACCTCACGGCGTGGCTCTTGTTCACCTCACTTTCCCCAGGAGGAAGCTGAGGCTGGGGAAGCTGGAGGACTTGCCCGGAGCGACCCTGGCTGCACGGGGGCTGCTTTTCCATCCAGTCCCACTCTGCCCGGTTCGTGAGCCCCGGCTCCTAACTGCTCTGCTATGAAAAAGTGAAATTTGAAAAATTTATTCCAAAATGCACCCCAGAGAAACAAGTGTAGTAAATGCTCAGAATAATTCAGGACCAATCGTTTTTCTTTTTGAAAAATGATTCTGACCCACAGAGCACTCAGAACTAATCCTGTGACCTCCACTTAATCGGCACCACATCCAAGTCCACAGAACCACCCACACATGGAGGTGCGAGGCCACAGCGGAGCATGGGGGTGTCAGAGTCCTCCCCTCAGATGGGCCACCCTCCAGCTTCACCAGGCTGGGTGGTGCGAGGGGTTCATTTCCGTATTGTAATACAGAAGCTGTGTACCAGGCTTGCGATGCCGGTTAAAGGAGACACCCCAGGTGTGTGTCTGGCAAGTCACAGACACCCAATCAGGCCTCTCATAACAAGTGCAGTTGAAAAGCAGCCCTGCCCTGTTCTGCCACCTTATCTCCGTACCTGGCACAAGCCTGGCACAGAGCAGGAAGTCAAAGGACACGGGACCACATTGAGTAGGAATTAATTAACCAAATGCATGCCCACTTTGCCCCGTCTCTAGATTTTCTGCTACGTGTTGGCCCTGAACAGAGCTAAGAATTATCTCAAATATTGAACAATGTAGTATTTTACTGGAACAGAAGATTTCTCATGTTACCTCTGGTTTTTTATTCTTCCAGTTAAATGGTGATTTTTTTTTTCTTATTAACAATGAGCAAATTACAGCCTTGGTGAAAATTGATGTTTTCGAACAGACAAGACTCGTTTTCATTTATTTACAGAATGTTTCACCTCGGTTTCTCTGGGAGATGCAAGTATTTTATTTTTTTAACAGACTCTGGAATCACAGTGTTTAGTCATGACATAGCTTTGAATATAAAACTGTCGTGGCTTAATGAAAGTCTTAAAATATCTCCAGAACATGATTTTTTTTTTTTTGGTGCTATGCTGCAAATTGTGATTTGTTCAGGTAATCGAGATTAAAATGGAACATTGTGGAAAGCACTGATCACTTCCGTTGGGCCCCCAGAATACTAGGAAAGGAACTGGGTGTCCTATGAAGGTTTGCTTGTGCTACACCACACCCCTCCTTCAGTCACCCAGGCTCGAAGTTCGATCATAGTCACATGTTTTAATAGATAGATAGATAGATAGATAGATAGATAGATAGATATAGATAGATAGATAGATATTATTGATTTCAGAGAGGAAGGGAAAGGGAAAATCATCTATCAGCTGCCTCCTGCATGCCCCCTAGTGGTGATTGAGCCCACAACCCAGGCATGTGCCCCGACCGGGAATCAAACCGTGACCTCCTGGTTCACAGGTTGACGCTCAACCACTGAGCCACTGGGCGATCATAGTCATGTTCTTAAAATGACTAGCTTGGTTTTGAGAACATCAGCTTAAGAAAAATGTAAGATAATTTTTCCCATTTAAATAAGTAGCACTTGAACAGTTCAGGTAACTAGGATATGGAAGCACCTAGTGGTTTCCGTTTGCTTTCCTTTTCCTGTTAACTGAAGGCTACTTTAGTCTCAAAATGGATGTGTCCTGTGAATTCGTGGGTTAAGAGGCTGTGGCGAAGGTCACTGGACTGTTCTTCACCAACAGAGGCTCTTGAATCGGTAGGACTCCCGTTACCAACTTCCCATGAACGGCATTTAGGTGGAATCGGGCAACGGACGGCCCAGGGGCCACGGACTCCAGCCTCCAGGTTTCTGGGCTGACATCCTGGCTTGGCAAACTAGGTTGGGGAGCAGCCTTGTGGTTTGCTGTGTCCCACCTCAAACGAAATGGAGGAACGGCTCTGCATCTTTGTAAAAAGATTCCAGGGGGGTTTCTCTCAGCGAGAGGTAAGGAGGCCAGTGGGGAAATGCCACAGAGCTGCCGAATGCATATGGGGATCAGTTCACCCCAAAACGGAGCTGCTGCACCCGGTGGGAAACGTGCTCCTGGCCAATGGTCAGCCTGTGCCCTTTCTCAGTCCTCTGCTGCCAGCTCTGGTGCCAGTATGCGAGCAGGTTCAGGGAGTACCTGGCTCCTTGATCCGCCCTCATCTCCTGGCTCTCGTGGGTCTCCAGACCGGGGGCCATGAGCCCTATGAAGAGCCAAACCTGCCTGTTGTTGCTGCTGCCACGTCCATCGGGAATCAAACCGTGACCTCCTGGATGGCTCGGCTTCCTGTGGCCAGGAGTCCCTGACTCTGCAGAACTGGGTCTGGGAAGCCAAGATCCTAGGAACTCGAGCAGGAAATGGCCCTCCTCCTGCCGGATGGCCTCCTGCCCGGGGAGGCCCTGAAGAGGCAGAGCTGGGAGAATCCAAGCACCGTTCCGACCCTTCCCCGAGCTGCCGTGTCCCGTCTGCGAGGACACTCAGGAGCAGGGTGGTGAAGAGGAGGGATGGAGGGAGTAGGATTCCGCTTCTCCCGGGTTATATCTGGGATCGTTGCAGACACTCTAGACACCCCGCTCTCCTTCCACATATGACTAATGAGAGGACCCCAACTATCCACCCTTAGGTTGAATGAACCCTGCAGATGTGGGATTTGATTTTTTGTTTTGTTTTGTTTTGGTCTTCCCAGTGTTTTTTAAAAAAATAATAGTAATTAGTTGCCAATGTTTAAAACTCTAGTGATTATATGTAAAAGTCTCTGCGTTCAACTCTGCGTAAGTTCCGGAAGTGGTTTGGCCCACAGGTGGCCAGGATGGTCTGGAGCAGCGCTCTGCCATGGGCCGCTGCGGACGACGGCGGCTGGCACCTGCGCGTCCACGGTGCAGCGAGGCCCACGGCCTCTCGAGCACCTGGAATGTGGCTAGAGCAAATGAGAGACGGAAGTTTTCATCTTACTGCATTTTAATTTGTTTAATTTTAAATCGCCACCTTTGGCTCATGGCCACTTGTTGCACAGCGGGGTTTACAGCTGCGTGGCGGGCACCCCGTCTGGGCAGGGCATGCCCCTCGGATCGCCATGGCTCCCACCAGGCCCGCTTTCGCCAGCCCTGCTCCCACTCTCTGCAGTCACGTCCCATTCGTTAAGAAGCACCATGTTTAAACAGTGTATTTTCTGAAACTAAATACTTTGGAGTATCTGCCACTCCCTCCCCTCACACTACACTCTGCCCTTTATCTTAATTTAAACATCTGGATCTTATTCCCCCAAAAGACGCACTTTCATGGAAAGCCAGGAGTATGATTATAAAGCCGTCTCCACCAGAGTAAACCCTCTCGGCATGAATGTTTCCTGGTCCCCCTTACTCGCTTCTCTTGGCCCTGGAAATGGCTCCACAAAGTCAGCAGGTAGGAGAGTCACCCCATGTCTGGACCCGTCGCTTCTCCGTACGTGAGCTGGAGATGTGGCAGCCGGTTAGGGGAGCAGGCCCGTTAACCCCACAGCAGCGGAGCCAGGTGTCTGCACAAAGGAAGAAAAAGAGCCGACCCTGTAACTTT